TGTTATGGTTGTCATGCCCTGATGGCGGTCCTGCTGCTGAGTCCATACACACACACACACACAGACTGCTGAGTCCATACACACACACACACAGACTGCTGAGTCCATGCACACACACAGACTGCTGAGTCCATGCACACACACAGACTGCTGAGTCCATACACACACACACACACACAGACCGCTGAGTCCATACACACACACACAGACACACAGACTGCTGAGTCCATACACACACACACACACACAGACTGCTGAGTCCATACACACACACACAGACCACTGAGTCCATACACACACACAGACACCCACACATATTGCTAAGTCCATACATACACACACAGACACACACAGACTGCTGAGTCCATACACACACACACAAGCTTCATCACTAGCTGACAGACAGACAGACAGACACACACACAAGCATATCAAGCCTACCTGTCACTGGAGGCTGTTGCTGGGGGTCAGACAGCCATCTTCCATCCTTTCCAGCAGCAGCAAGGTCTGCTGCGGTGGGGGCGGGGCTTATGTGCAGGAGGCGGGGCTTTGTTTGGGGGCGGGGTCTGTGCCGGGGAGCCTGTCAGGGCTCCGTCTGGCCACAGACAACACCCAGCACAGTTCCAGCTGCTCTGTCCTGCATTCCCTCGGGCTGTCACACACTGTTACAGCCCGAGGGAATGCAATTTAAACACATGGCCAGCAAGTTGCCGGCATTTGGGGGGCCCAAGGGGGGTACAGCATGATGTAGGGGGGCCATGGCCCCCTCTGGCCCCCCTTAGCGACGCCACTGTTTACGATATTATAAAAAGGAAGAAATTTAAAAATAAATTAGACAATTACAAAATGTTACAGTAACAATAGGTTGATGAGGACCCTGCTCAAACAAGCTTACAGTTTAGAGGAGGTGGGGTATAAATACACAACAGCGATAGCAAACAAATGACAGTAGCAGAACTGGAGGTGAGAGTGGAGTGTAAAAAAAAAAAAAAAAAAGGTAATGGTTCAGCGCTAAACAATCTAAAAGAAACTAAAACAAAATGTAAAAGCAGCAACCTATAGGAATGAGGTCCCTCTAAAAACCTCACATGGAATAGGACAAACAGAAATGGGTATATAGGTCGCGCTAAGGGGACAAGGAGGTAAAATAAATGAAATAAATAAAAGTGATAAAAAAGTCCCAAATATAAATAAACCTGTGTTGTTCTAGGAGAGTATACAGTCCAAATGGATATCTGAGTCTTCTTATGTTGAGGATGTCTTGGAATGCTTGTCAATACGTAGATGCATAAAAAAAAGAAGAGGAAGAAGAACTCCAATAGTGTAGAATGTCGATAAAGTTTCCAGGTATGGATCTATAAGTAGGTAAATGACTCACCTTGGAGTGAGCAAAAAAAACCTTGCTCAAGTGTTCTTAGCGTTCAGTGGCGTCAATCCCCCACTGGTAGGATATAGGCGATGGAGTCCTGGACAATTCCTCGGTATATAAAAAATGAGAGACGTATATAGTGCTCACTGATGTTTATAAAAACAAATAAAAAAAGGTAAAATACTCACATGTACATGAGCAGGAAATACTGCTCAGTATGATGGCGCAGGTGGTACAATCCCCACCTTAGGATTCTTGGAAATTGGCGTACTTCAATCCAAATTGATGACCAGGTAATTCAAATTAAAAATATAAAATAAAAGGAATTAAAAGTATATAGGCAAAAAATAAGGGCCAGTATTCCTTTATTAAAATATAATTTATCAATATATATAACAGACTTTGTAATAGCCAAAACGCGTTTCACCACACAGGGCTTTATCAAATGGCATTTAAAAGAGAGAAAAACCTGGTAGTAGCCTGTTAGGAGAGAGCAAGAGACGGGTTTGTGAAATAGAGGTTACTCTGGGAGCTTTTCTAAAAGAGTGGGACAGTGAGCTTGCAAGGATGGGCTGGTGCAGGTACCATCAACTTGCAGGTAGCATGAAAGAGGAGTATTAGTATTATAAGGAGGAAAAATTTGAAACTCAGTTTTAGAGAGATTGAGTTTCAGAAAGTGAAAGGAAATCCAATCAGAAATGGATACCAGGAATCCAGGTATACCACTGATGCATGCAAAATATTAATAAAAAAACAGAGAAACATTATGCAGAAATATGCAAGCAGTAGCACATGCACATAGTATTGCAATCAGTTGTTGAAAAATGCAAGATATTTTGCACATTATAATTCATCAAAAATACTTGTAAACTCAGTCAAAAATAAAGGTGAAAATCCCTTGCTGGTAATCAATAGGAACATACCAATACAAAATGTCTAAGAATCTCTATGTTTTTAACCCCATAGTGGGTAGATAATTGATTTCTTATATTTCTGTATAAATGGTGGATTATCTATGAACTCTCCTGTATATAAAGCCAGAAGAGGCCACAGAAAGATGTCCACATACGCCGTGTTCGTGATATTGAATGGAACAAGTTCCTCTTAAAGGGGACCTCAGCGGAGGAGTTTGCATAGGAAATATATAATTTTTTGACCACACAGATTTCTCGATTTATTTATTATTTATTTACAAAATATTTTACCAGGAAAGATACATTGAGATTTCTCTCATTTTCAAGTATGTCCTGGGTCCACAAATCATTGCATTGTTACATTACGGTACAATAAAATACAAAAACAATATTAATACACAATAAATACAAAATCTAACATAGAACAGGTAGGAAATATATAATCAACCATAACACAAGCATTCTGTTTTGAGGTATGTAGAGAGGGATCTCTTAAAGGACTTTAGGCTTAGGGAAGATTTTAAATTGTGCGGGAGGTCGTTCCACAATTGCGGTGCCCTATAGGAGAAGGGCTGCTTTCTTTTTGTATTGAGGTAGACTAAGTAAAGTGTTGGTACTGGATCGGAGCTTATAGGAAGTGGGAACAGCTGGGGAAAGCATTTTGTTCAGGTAGGGTAGGGGTTTCCCAGAAAAGCTCTTAAACACAAGGCTGGAAAGATGAAGGGTGTGTCTGGATTCCAGCGACAGCCAGTTTAGTTCTTTTAGCATGTCACAATGGCGGGTCCTGTAATTACATTGTAGCACAAATCGGCAGAACGAGTTATACAATGTATTGAGTTTATTAAGGTGGGTTTGCGGTGCAGGTGCATATATTACATCCCCATAATCAATGATTGGCATCAGCATTTGCTGTACAATCTTCTCCTTTACTGTAGGGCTTAGGCAGGATTTGTTTCTGTAAAGGGCACCTAGTTTTGGATAAAGTTTAGATGCAAGCTTTTTTATGTGCAGGCCAAAAGATAGTTTGGGGTCTAAGATCATACCCAAGTATTTGAAAGAGTGGACTGCGGTCAGTGTGCCATTTGAATTTGTTTTGATTGATAGGTGGGAATTGTGTAATTTGTGTAATTTAGGTACTGTTCCAAAGATCATGATATCTTAATAGTTTTAGGATGTTATACCACATGGCGAGACACATTTCCCATTAATTTCAGAGTTAGCAATTTGTAGTTATTAAATCCCATAAAGAACATCTAAGGGTTAATTCATCAAACAGCAAGGACTTGCACATTTTAGACCAATATCCGAACTGGAAAATAATTCTCAAATTCAATTAATTTTCTATTTAGGTTATTCTGACATAAATTTGCAACTTCCCAACTTCAATTTAAAATAATGTAAAGTTGGTTGAATAATAATTATAATTAGTTTGTTTCATTGCATTTATGAAACTTAGAAACATGTTACTGCTCTCCATGGTCCTGAAGTAATATATGTTTCCATCTCTAACCTGCTCTTTTGTAATACTAAACTAGCTTCAAGCTTGGACATAGACAAGAATGTTGTGATATCTCTACATTCACACAGTAGATCATTCACTCTCATACAAACACCTGTATACTGGTAGTGATATCAATACTAGCCTGCTGTTGGCTTCCGTTTACAGATTTAAAGAACACTGTCATCAATAATGGGATATTTCAGTTGGCAATTTACATGATTGTTATAACGGTGCTATTGGAGCCATTTCATATAACATACAAGGCCTAGAACATTCACTCATTCACTAAACAGTGTATGCAGTTTCTTGGTTTCATATATAAATATATTTGGGAGTCCATGCCAACTCCACACCCCTCCCTGTCACAGGTACCTCATTTCATGGCCCTTGTACTGCAGGAGGAAGCATTTCCCAAGTAAGAGGATTAATCCCACAAGACCAAGCATTAGGTTGCTAGGATAGGACCTGCCAAGAAGGGGGTACATTGGTGTTTTGGCAGGCTTATGCAATGTATGATCATATACTGTAACTAAACCCACATTACTTTTACCTAAGTTAGGTGTTTAAAGAAAATAATTTACATTACATTCTGTGAGCTTTAAAATTCCTGTTGAATGAGTGAATTTGCTGGATCTTGTATGTTATTCTGCATGTGTCTGGAACTGCAAGTGTTATCCTGCATGTGTCTGGAACTGCGAGTGTTATCTTGCATGTGTCTGGAACCGTGAGTGTTATCCTGCATGCATCTGGAACTGCGAGTGTTATCCTGCATGTGTCTGGAAATGTGAGTGTTATCCTGCATGCGTCTGGGACTGCGAGTGTTATCTTGCATGTGTCTGGATCTGTGAGTGTTATCCTGCATGTGTCTGGATCTGTGAGTGTTATCCTGCATGTGTCTGGAACTGCGAGTGTTATCCTGCATGTGTCTGGAACTGCGAGTGTTATCCTGCATGCGTCTGGAACTGTGAATGTTATCCTGCATGCGTCTGGATCTGTGATTGGTATCCTGCATGTGTCTGGATCTGTGAGTGTTATCCTGCATGTGTCTGGAACTGCGAGTGTTATCCTGCATGTGTCTGGAACTGCGAGTGTTATCCTGCATGTGTCTGGAACTGCGAGTGTTATCCTGCATGCGTCTGGAACTGCGAGTGTTATCCTGCATGTGTCTGGAACTGCAAGTGTTATCTTGAATGTTATCTTGAATGTTCTATGAGTGTTAACTGTGAGTGTTATCCTGCATGTGTCTGGAACTGCGAGTGTTATCCTGCATGTGTCTGGAACTGCGAGTGTTATCCTGCATGTGTCTGGAACTGCGAGTGTTATCCTGCATGCGTCTGGAACTGCGAGTGTTATCCTGCATGTGTCTGGAACTGCAAGTGTTATCTTGAATGTTTATGGAACTGTGAGTGTTATCCTGCATGTGTCTAGAACTGCGAGTGTTATCCTGCATGTGTCTGGAACTGCGAGTGTTATCCTGCATGTGTCTGGAACTGCGAGTGTTATCCTGCATGCGTCTGGAACTGCGAGTGTTATCCTGCATGTGTCTGGAACTGCAAGTGTTATCTTGAATGTTTATGGAACTGTGAGTGTTATCCTGCATGTGTCTAGAACTGCGAGTGTTATCCTGCATGTGTCTGGAACTGCGAGTATTATCTTGAATGTTTATGGAACTGTGAGTGTTATCCTGCATGTGTCTGGAACTGTGAATGTTATCCTGCATGTGCCTGGAATGTGTCAGCATTATTCTACATATGTACGGACAGTGTGCTATCCTGCATGTTTATGGGTGGACAATCTCAGTATGCACATACTGGCTCTGGGCTGCTCTTGTGTCTTGGGTCAGGACATCTGGCAATATTTGATGTCTTTGTTTTATCCAGTCTTGGTGGAGTAAAGAGGGAGAATTAACATAGTTGTCATTCCTCCAGTTTTGTTTTTGAGCATTTAGATAAAAACAAGTTTCTCTTGGCACCCATCTGCTAAGTTACCCCCTGCAATCATAGCCTGCCATTGCCACCTAGTGTACTACCATATTTCCAGCAAGCGTATGAGGTTCCTAATTTAATTTAAATCTTTTTAATTTGCAGTGAACCCATTTTACTTGTTAGGTTAATAAGGCTGCAATATTTCCATGAGTAGTTCACCTGCCTGTGTAGAATTCTGGAGTTGATCATCAGTTGAGCATATTTACCCATTGCTTTTTAGATAGAAGTCCTCGAATTAAAATCAGAAAAGAATCTGCAGCTATCGCCATTTTAGAACTCATTTTAGACATTTATAGCCCCTTGACTACGCGCTTTGCTATCACTTTAAACAAGGTTTACAGGTTATGTATGATAGATTCATTTACTGAACAACCTACTTAATAAAGTGCAAACGTATAAATCACTGTCACTGACATAGTACTTTAATTATCTATAGCCCCACTGGTGGCAAAAAGCACCTGTGAGGTGAACATGTAGGTCACACCAAACAAATGTGTTCTGGAATGCAGAATGATCAACAAATGAGTGTAGCTACAGATACCGTGTCCTCAATCAAGATATTTTTTTTATCCCCTTCATTGTCTTAATGGGGTTTATTAATTCTCCACATGGCACTTTAAGGATTAAATATTTGCTTCACTTAGGGGTTTTCTTCACTAAACAGTGAATCGTGGTAAACTGACAATAGAGTTTATAAAGTTTTCAGTTCTAGTGTCAGTTCACCATAATTCACTGTTTAGTGAATGAACCGCTAAAATATCCAAATAACTCTTACACTTATATCTAGGTGTATGAATAAGATTCAGAATGATTCCAATTCTTAAAGGAACACTACAGAACTAGGAATACAAACAAATATTCCTAATGTTAGAGTGTTAGATTACCTATTTAGGTTCAGCCGTCATTCCCCCGAAGTAATATAGCAGTTTAATAGTTTACCTTACCTTTAGTGAGCTGGTGTGCCTGGCTGAGTTCATCATTACATATGTGCTGTACATTAGGTAAATATTGTGAGGCTTATGTGCAAACTCGGCATTCGATGTGATGCACCAATTAGCATTTTCTCATAGAGATACTTTGATTTAATGTGGGTGTTTGGTGTCTCCATGCAGAGTGTGGATATGCCGAACATCAGTCTTGCAGTCTTTGCAGGACTAGAACCAGGAAGCCCCTCTAGTGGTTGTCTGAGTGACAATCACTTGAGTTGACATTAAGCAGTAATGTAAACGCTATTGAGACTGTATGTACAGTCTCTTTGCTCTAGAACAACTGTAGTGGTTATGGTACTTTGAGTGCCACTTTGACTTCTGGGCAAGGGTCAAAAACTTTCATTGTGCCAACATCACAATGCAAGCCAGAAGGTTACCAGGTGAATTGGGCATATTAGACCAAGTATCTTCATGGCACCTGGTCCCCTGTTTAAACCCTGGG